GCGAGGTTGCAGGCTGCACGTGGTCTTGACTATATTTGAATTCACATCTTATCTGATTCCAAAATGCATACTTTGTTTTCTGGACTCTGCTTTCATCCACCGAGAGCCAGAGAGTCTCAAAAGATAGAGGGTCCAAATTCCTCATACAGTCTTCCGGTCCATAGTGAGTCATCTAGAGAGTCCGGTGCCCTTTGGGATTCAGGAATAGCTGGCAGGAAGGCTCTCTACACAGATATTAACGTGCCCATATCCCCATGTCCTGTTTTTGTCTTTTCTAGGCGTGTGGGTGATTCAGATGAAGAACTTCCATCATCTTCTGTTTTCACTATAACTCAATAATGATTTCTGCTGAGCTCTTGTCTGCCCAATACTGTGCCCTAGGGAGACTGTCTTTTTTTTTTCTTTTTAAAAATATTTTTGGGAGTCTGTCTTTACAGATGGTCCCTTTGAGTCTCAGGAGGCATTTGCTATTTTTAATTCTTATTTGTTTAATTTTGCTCCACCAGGGATGTCCCTCTACCACTGTGCTGCATCTCCAGCTCATTTTCTTTTTTATTTGGAAACAGAGTCTTGCTGAGTTGCCCAGGTTGGCCTCAAACTGTGTGCACCACCACACCCAACTACGTTTTTGACTCTTAACTTACTAGCCTTTTGACCCTGGAGCCAATCATTTACCATTCATGGTCCATAGCCTAAGATCCCCGCTCCTTCCCCTGGCCTTGCAGGACATTGGCTGACCTCTCCCTCCATCTCTAACCTTGTCTTAAACACTCTGATTGTCTCACTTCAGGCCACCTTGCTAAGCTCGCTCCTGTCCTCAGCCCTTGGTACTTGCTGCATGTTCTGCCCGGAATGCTCTTCACCCAGAGCTGGGCTTGACTGGCTCCTACCTGCCATTCAGGTCTCAGGTTGCTGTCTGCCCCTCAGGAGGCTGCCCTCCCTGCGTGCACAGCAGCCCCTCTCTGAGTCACAGTCGAAAGGTKCTCTAATGTTTCCATGGATTGTACAGTATGTGCTTTCCATATGTCTCCCCACTTTATGCCCCCATGAGGAATGCCCGTTTCGTCAAATTCTCTCCTCCATGCACCTAAATGGTACCCGTCACGTCACATGGCACTCAGGCCTGGCTTCACCCATAAGGGAAGGGATGCACGAATGAATGAATGGAAGGTACCACACACTGAGGGTACTTCTGTCTGCAGGGCTGGGGGTGCAGGAGAACTTTAGAGTCTACTGTCCCCGATTGGCAGGGACCATCAGAGGRGACCAGCATTTAAGGGTTCTGCTGCCATTTCTGCTGTCTCCAGCCCTGCACTTTTCCTCCTGGCCTTCCCTCTACCTGGCCTGCCCCCTACATCTGCCTTTGACCGGAACCTCACCGAACACCACCTGCTTCAGATTCTCCCCYGATTCCATTGGAAGAATTTGCTCCCTCCTCTGAGTTCTGCAGACTTCTTGCTGTATCTCTGTGTGGCATACACGCCTGTCTCTGGACTGTAAGGAGCTTGAGGACAGAACCTTTGTATTCCTTTCTGGAACCCCTGGCACAGAGCAAGTGCTCCACAGACCTCTGGACAGGAAGATGGTGGAAGGTTTGGCTGGATGGGCTCGAAGGAGGAAGGCTTGGGAGGGGGTCACAATGCGTGTAACACCCTGCCTCCGTGAACAGCCTCAGGCAGAGACCCCAAGACCAAGTTTCATTCTAGACTTTTTTTTTCTAGCTGGAAGTTTAAGCAAATAGCTTTATCATCCTGTGCCTCAGTTTACATGTCTATAAAATGGAGATAACAGTARTAACTCCACTTATGTGGCAATAGTCACACTGAGGCTTTTGTGAGAAATAAGTGATCTAATGCTTTAAGGTGCCTGGYTCAATGCCTAGCACATCAAATATATTCAATAAATGTCAACTATTATTYTGGATGCAGGTCTGAGCCTAGTGTGGGGTTTCGCCTTCCCACATTGGGGGCCACAGCCTTAGTCTAGAGACTCATTACAGAAAACAGAGATTCAATGGGAATTCAGAAAAGGGTTCTCTTTGCTCACATCTCTTCCTACCTTTATTTCTTCACTCAAGAAGTATTTTCTGAGCATCTGCTCTGTGACCCTGGGATTCTGCCCTGGTCGAGATGAGGCYACTGCCCGCCTGGGGCCTACATTCTAGTGCAGGAAGTCAGAGGATAAGCAGAAAAGGAAACCAAAAGATTGTTTCAGAGAGTGAATGTTCTATAACAAAAATAGGGGTATGTAATAAAGAGAGGCTGGAAGATCGGAGAGGTTTTCTGAGATGGTCTTAAGTGGAGRCACCTGGGAGAATGGTCCAGGCAGGACCTGAGGGGCAGAGAGAAGACTAGAACGACTACCTACCGAGGAGTGACCTGGAGGTGGAATGTAGGAGGTAGGGCATGGAGTCTGAGGGGTTGGCAGGGGGCAGAGCCTCAGGAAGGTGCTTATTCTGAGAGGTTTGGATTTAATTCCAAGTTTGATGGGAAGCCCACTTGGGATTGTAGGGTTAGTGACATGATCTTAGGTTTTGAGATCAAGAATGGATGGATGAAGAATGGTCCAGGCAGGGATAGGACAGGTGAAAAATGACAACATCCCCACCCTGGGATTCCATTCAGAGTACCAATGTCCCCAACTTATGATGGTTCAATTTAATGATTTTCCACTCATGTTGGTGCAAAATTGACATATATTTGGCAGAAACCATGCTGGAAGATTTGAATTTTGGTCTTTCCTAGGCTAGCAACATGTGGTCAGGTCCCCTTGGGTGATACAGGGCAGTGTCAGTGAGACACCGCTGCCAGTCAGCCACACAGTTATGAGGGTGTACACCCCGGTTCCACGGTGTCGCTAAACCAGGATGGGTGGTAGGTTGGGTTCATGAAGTGCGTTTTCAGCTTGGCAATAGTTCAACCTAGGTGGAGTTTATTGGAGGTTACCACATCATAAAGTCGGGTGCATCTGTGGTGTTTTGGGGACAGTGGGTACACAGGGCCTGCTGGTGTGTGTGGACATGGACRGTGAGCCCTCTGGGGTGACTCAAATGAATGAGATGAAATTATCACTTCTGTTGGGGCTGGGGGAGGAGACAGGGACCCTGAGTTTTTGGCTCAGCACAATGAAGGAGCAGGTTGAATCATTTCTTGGTAAGACTGAGGGAAGACCCTGCTGGAGAAGGTGGGCACTCAGGGTTTTGATSTGGATCTGGAGACGTGTAGGCTACGTGCAGAGATATATTCAAGTAGGGAGGCCATCAGGGTTAGTTGAAGAATACAAATGTACAGACCAGGGACTCAGCATAGAGACGCTTTTAAAAGCATGTGAGACACCATAAGGTCACCTGGGGGGGYGGAGAGGGAGGGGAAGGGGAGGGGCTGGAGGGGACCCTGGGAAACCTCAAGCCTCCAGCATCAGATGGAGGAGGAGCCAGGAAAGGTGAAAGGAAAACCAGAAGGTGTCACAGAAGCCAGCGATGACGGTGACAAAGAGAAGGGTGACTGGCTAAGATGGAAGTTGCTAAAGGGTAGAGAAAGGTGCAGGTGGACTGTGGGGTTTGTTTGGTGCCATGGAAGCTGGTGGGGACCTGGGTCCCTGGAGCTGGGAGCCAGTCAATGAAGAAAGTGCAGGTGTGGTGTAGGCAGGGTCTTTGGGTCTGCTGTTGTGAGAGAGAACAGAGGAAGSAGTGTCTGGAGATGGGATGAGGGAGGGGTTTTGTCTGTTCAAGATGAGAGATATTATGGGATGTTTGTGTGCTGATGGGAGAGAGAGAGATCAGGCAGTGGGGGAGAAATTGACCAKGCAGGGAAGACAGGATAATTGTAGGAGCAAAAGTCTTTGCAAGTGGGTTCCCAGGGCCTCCTCAGAATTAGGACAGGGTAGGCAGTGTCTGGGCCAGCTGTGGGTGGCAGGACCAGCTATACTAAAGGGACAGCTGGGCCTCCTGACACACTGCACTCCCATCCAAAAGCCTGGTTTCTAGCACAGGTTCAGGTTTTCCTGCGGGACCTTGGGAAAATTACTGGATCTTTCTGGGTTGTGCTTCCCCCAGGGTGGTGATGGTGAGTTATCACACTTGCCTATTTGAAAAATGCATCGGATAGATTCCCAACAGAGACATCGTTGGCTTTGACCTGAGAGGAAATTTGGCTCTTAGGTCAGCAGGCTAATTTTAGATTCATAATTCTGCATTTCTTAACCTACAGAGGAACTCGAAAGGGTACAAAAACCTGGTTCCATGAAACCAGGATCTGTCCTGGGACTTTTGAGTAAATGACTCTACTTTCCCCATCTGTAAAATGGGAGGTTAGGAGTTGCTTCATAACATGGGGATTGGGGTTAGTAGGTACAGGGTGCAGGCCATGAGGTGGGGGCTCAAATGAATGAGATGAAATTATCACTTCTGCTGGGGCTGGGGAAGGAGGCAGGGACCCTGTGCCCCGACTGTGTGCATTGACAGGGGTTCCCCTCTTCCCATTCCCCTCCTCAGCAGACCTAGCCCTTGAGGTTATAGGTCAACTTCTCTTTTTATTTACACCTGTGAAGGTACAGACTACCTGAGGTCAGCTTTCTCCTACTTTCCTTCCTTCCCTCCCACACGTAGCCACCGACCTCCCTCTTCCTGTCCTCCACCCCCCACCCCCGGCCCCCAAAGAGCCCAGTGCAGGGACTTGGGTGGCACGTGGTAGGCAGATGGACTCCATCGGCCTCCTCCTGCATCTCCTTTACAGACAGGATTGGCTTCCTGTTCCCCAAAGCAGCAGATTTCAAATGCACCTGATTGATTCACAAGGACTTCTACTTCTGGGTACCAAGCAAAAGCCCCCTTTGACCTCTTGGACATCAGCCCTCAGGAGGACCAGGAGGTTGTAATGACACTTCCAGGGTAGAGGAGATGAGCAGGCTATGCTGGGTCCTAAGGATGTCCCACCCTGGCCCAGACAGACCCTCCCCTGCCTCCCCTGGAGCTTTCTGTGCCCAGAACCCCAAGTCCTTACCTTACTGGGAACGAGGATGGGCAGAGGCAGCAGAAGGATGGGCAGAAGCAACACAATCAGATAGGAGCGATAGGCCCACAGGCCCTGCCAGCAGGTGGCCATGGTGTGGACCAACTGGAGCTGCCAGAGCCACAGTCTCCAGGAGCCAAGGAACTGAAAGACCAAACAGAAGGCACAGCCAGTAGGTGGCCCGGGGCAGGCTTATATAAAGCCAGTTGAGTGTTAACCATTGACCTACCCTGGCAATCACAGTGTTTTTGGAGCCAGGAGGTGGGAGTAAGGAGGAGGGACTTACTGGAGGAGGAAAGATCAGGAAGACTTTGCAAAGACAGGRAGGGGGAAAGGCCAAGGAATAAAAGCTTCAGATTCCTTCTAGAACTTAAGTCCAGAGTTAGCTCCTGTTTACAGAAGCTGCCGAGGGCTSTCACTGAGAAGGACAAGGGCTGTCACAAGAAGGGTGCTTGGAGMGTCTCCAGCAAGAACCCAAGTCCTCCCGGCCCAGCCTSCCTTTCTTCCCCAAAAGCCAATTCTCAGCTGAGCAATTGACACAGGCCTGGAGTGGGGTCCCTCAGACCCACCTACGGAGGCACCCTGCCCTCCTGGAGCTGCCAGTCTGAGATGGAGAGGCTTGGAGCAAGCCCTTCCCCTCCTTCCAGGTGTCAAGGGAATTGTCAAACTCACCTGTCCTGAAAATTTCAGAGTCACTGTGTGACACTGATCTGCTGGCTTGACTCTCAGAAGAGTCTCTTCCTCATTCTGCAATAATTTCTTCCTCTTGCGAGGCTCCAATTAGACAATTTGTGTATGTTGAGCGTTGATGTGTGGTAGATGGACAATAAAGATTAGTTTCTTTCAGGTTCTTCCTGGTGGCCCCACCCTACCCCCCACTGCCATGGGAGACCAGCAAAGATTGTCTCTTATTTTGAAGATATACTTGATCCCTTCATATATCACTCATCTAGCCACCTACCTAACAAATATTTGCCACCAACTATGCACTATGTGCTCGGTGCTAAGGGTACAGAAATTGAAATGCTAACATTTGTTCAGCATTCAGTACAGGCTTGTTAGTGAACTATTTCATTGCCTGTAAAACTACACCATGCGTTAGGTATTAACTATTCCTTTTTTTACAGAAGGGAAAACTGAGGCCTAAAGACATGGAGTGAGCCARAATTCGAATGTGCAAGGACACCTGGAGGAGAGGGCGACCAGGCCAAGGCTCAGAGGAGTCTAACTTAGCCACGAGGTGTCAGGGGACAATGTACAAGCAGGGAAGGATGAACTACAGCCTGGAGGTGGCGGTGTGTGTGCGTGCATGTCTGTGTGTGTGTGTGTGTGCATGTCTGTATGTGTGTGTGTGGGCATGCACTGCAGGGGGCATGCTGTGCTGTGGAGGAAATTGTGTGTCATCTGTTTGGCCAGAAGCTCTGTCTCTTGTTGCCCTCACCTTCCTCCTCCACACTGCACACAGTAGGCGCTGGGTTCATGTCCCTGATGWTTATCAGAGTGTGGTGATCTCAGTGTGCCAGGATAAGAAGGCAGGGTGTCGGGGAGAGTGTTTCCGGCAGGGAATGCAGGCTGGCACGGGTGCAGAAGTTTGCGAAGTTGAGAGAACAGAAGGTTCTGTGTGGTTGGAATATGAATTTGGGGGTTCAGGATTGAGAATGGATAACCATGGGAGCAGAGTATACATGAGTATTCATGGCTGTTAGACCATGAAGGCATTCCTGGGCCCAGGGGGGTCTGTGTGAGAGAGACCCCCAGGCCCCTTCAGGGTGATCATAGAGGCGTGGATGGACCCAGGTTGAGGGCTCCTGGGGTCATCTCCAGGCTGGGTGGGAAGCTACAGTCACAAGAGACAGACCAGCCACCCCCAGCCCCACTTAGGTCTTGGCCCCTTCACACCTACACAGCCAGCCTGCCCCTGCTTAGGGCAAAATAAGCAAGATCTAGAAAGCTCCAAAGAGACAAAGGGTTTCAGATGGGCAGGACAATACCTTGATTCTATTTTACCTAGAAGAAGGCCTCTCCCATGGCCTGAGGCTCTGGAGGAGCCAAGGGAGCAACCAGGCTGGGCCTTATCCCTCAGGAACAACATTCACTACTTGTAAAATCTGCATTCAATTCAACTAACTCTGCGCATCAACCTGTGAGGTTGGCTCACAGCAGTGAAGTGACTTGTCCAGAGTCGCACAGCATGTGAGTAATTTTTGAGAACCCAGATTCATTCCCAAGACTGCCCATGCCCTCCACTCAGCCCTCCATGCTCTGCGCTCCTTTGATGGAACGAGAACAAAACTCAGTGGTTCCCAAATTAGATGACCACTATTTTCCTGTTATCCCTGGCTTCAAAGTCACAGGCTTTGGGGACCTTTGCTGATTCTCTTTTGAGGCTCAATGTTGGGGGCTATTCCATCATCAGAAGCCAGCCCCCGCCCCCCCCCATGTTTAATTCATCTCAAAGTCAGTGTCCCGAGGCCAGTGGGAAGCCTCCAGCTGTCACACTCCTAGTGAGAACTTGGCCTTTGCCTGGCAATCACAGCCAGGGCCCCACTCTGCCAAGCCTGGTTTGATTCCCCAGTTTGCCCCACCCCTTCTTTGATTAGTGCTGGCTCCTGATGGACTATGACCAACTCAGGCAGATACACACTGTCCTTCTTCAGTCCTCTGCAGGAGGACTTGGGTTCTTGCTGGAGACTCTCCAAGCACYCTTCCTTCTCYGTGGTAKGTCTCTGTATTATCTCGGGGGAAGTCATAACCAGGAAGCCCCTGCCTTGCACTTTGCTCATTGACCCTCCTGGAAAAGGCCAACGGAGAACAGCTGGAAATCTAGGGGAGAAGAGATGTGCCCAGTCTGCAGGTGCCAGCTTGTTCCCAGAAGTAGATGGCTGATAAGCTGGAGGTAAAGCTGGGGCTGGGGCACAAAGGTAGCTTTTAAGGAGTTCATACCTGGATACATGGGGTGGGCATTCAGAGGCTCCTGAGACAACCAGGGTTGAGCAGGCTAGGTCTGGAGCCCACTGGGGTTCATCCCAAGCAGTTCAAGAAGGCAGGGATAGATGGGCTTGTTTTCAATTCCTGGTACCCAAAAATTGAATCCAGAGGCACTTAGCCACTGAGCCACGTCTCCAGCCCTGTTTAAAATATTTTATTTAGAGACAGGGTCTCGCTGAGTTGCTTAGGGCCCTGCCGTTGCTGAGGCTGGCTTTGAACTTGTGATCCTTCTGCCTCAGCCTCCTGAGCTGCTGGGATTATAGGGAAGCGCTACTTCTCCCAGAGAGATGGATATTCTTGTACCAGGAATGATTTTTAAGATGTGGGACCGTCCAGCCTAGAGGACAGAAGACAAGGTGTAGGGAGAGCTAACAGGTCTTTGATTGAAGAAGAGGCCAGGGATGTGATCAAGGAGACAAAGAGAGGACCAGAAGGCAGCAGGGCTGGGAGGTCACACTGGGACTGTTTTCAAGAAAACCATTCTCCTGGGAGAGGTGGAGGAGGGGGATGGGCATCTTGCTCACAGCTCTGAGAATCCTGGACCCCAGATCTGACTCCAGGTGCTGGACTGCACCCTCGCCTTCCACGGCCTCTCTCCCTGGTCCACAGTTTGTCTTATATATGTTCATATCCACCACCCCTCCCCCCACACCTGGCAAAGTGCTCAAACATCCCTACAAGATCCAATCCTTGCTTTCCGCCTTGGCTCAGCCCTCACCACATTTGCCTCTGACCCAGCAATAAGCCGGGCTCCACTGTTTTCAGATCCTCCTCCTCCAGGTTCTGTGTATTCTAAACACACCAAGGAGCTTCTCTGAGGCATGTTGTCCCTACTCCTCCTCCCCGCTTTATTGGTTCCATCTTGTTTATCTTTCAAGTCTCAGCCTAAGACTGAGCCTCTTTTGTGAACTCTCACTACAGACTGAATTAGGGCCATTGCTTAGTGCCCTAGATGATCCCCGCCACACCTGACCCTGCACGTATCACACTGCATTTCATTCTCCTAATAACCTGCCTGGATCCCCCACTAGACCATAAGCTCCATCAGGGCAGGGACTGTCTGTCTGGCCCTGAGGTGGAGCTGGTACTCAGCAAATATATGTTGAAAGAATGAATGGGCGAATGGAGGGGTAGATGGGTGGATGGAATGCCCATAGAGAATTGATAAAGATCACACCAGAGAGCCAGCCCCACCGACTAGCATGGTCTGGTCCCTGCAGTTCCAGTTAAGATATACGTGGGCTGTTGCTCAGATAACAAGGTGAAGAAGTGAATGGGTTTTTACCACCATCAAGATGGCAATGAGAAGCCAGGGAGTAACCTCCCAGAGCTACCCTTTTCACATTTGGATTATTCTCCTCTGCAGACCGCAAACTGGGCTGGGATCCAAGGAGCATTCTAATCCCAAAGGGACCCTGAAGCTCATTTATACACCATCCGCCAAGAGCCACCTCCCTGTATTGCCAAGCAGCTAACCTATCCCCTCTTCTCCCAAGTCTCTATGCCCAGCTCTTTTTAAAAATTGCAGTAAAGATGGACACAGTGGAGCACACCTGCGGTCCCAGTGACTCTGGAGACTGAAACAGGAAGATTGCAAGTTTGAGGCCAGCCTCAGCAACTTAGTAAAACTCTCAGCAACATAGCAAATTAAAAATAAAAAAAAAAGATAAAAAGAGTTGGGATATAGTTCAGTAGTAGAGCACCCGTATTCAATCTCTAGCACCCTCCCAAAAGTAACAAAAATACACATAAGAGAACTGTACACATCTTAACCCATTTTATGTGTACAATTCAATGCTATAAAGTATATTCACTGTTGTTCAATCAACTGCAAAGCTTTTTCATCTTGCAAAACTGGAACTCCATACCTATTTACCAGCTCCTTATTTCTCTCTCCCCTAGCCCCTGGCAACTACTTCTACTTCTGGTTTCTAAAAGTTCACTGTTAATACTTCCTAGGAATGAAATCTTACTGTCAGTCTTTTTGTGACTGGCTTATTCACTTAGCAGCATGATATTCTCAAGGTTCATCTGTGTGCCACGATTTCCTTCCTTCTTTTTTGAGGCTGAATGACATCTCATTGTATGTATGTGCCACGTTTTGTTTATCCGTTCATGAATGCTTGAGTTGCTTTCACCTTTTGGCTATTGTAAATAATACTG